TGAAGACGAGGACCTGACGGCTAGTATTTACCCACCTCGTGGGGAGGCGGATAAATACCAGCAGGTTAACCGTCATTAGCCTTTCATATTATATTTTTGTTTCTTTGCATATAACATTAGTCTGAGTTTCTATGTATATAAAAATTCAACCTCAGCGTTGCGACCGCACGCTCCAAAAAATTTCTTACAATTAACACTAACACATTTCTAAAAACATATTTCGGATTACATCTATATTTTCGTTGTCTTGTTATTACCGAGAAGTAAAAAAACAAAAACAAATCTATTTCCATACCTGATGATGACTGTATGAACAGATGAAAGCTCGTAAAAAAAACTAAAAAAAAAAAATGCAACTTGAATTTATAAACAGGGATCATAACATTCATATACAGGTTCGGGGTTAATGTACTTTATTAAATTTGTTTGCGAAGACGTATTCTCGCCATTTATATCATTAACTTCTATATCTGTTTTATGTATGAATGATTCATGTAATATATATATATATATATATATATATATATATATATATATATATATAATTTTAGCAGCTGTCGACTTTTTTTTTTGTCTTCGATTTTTTTTTCTCTGGCGAGTGAGGACCAATAAAGAGGTTTCGCAGATTTTAATCGTTATATAATCAATTTACGGTAATATACAGGGTGATAGAAAAGTAATTCCACATTTTAAAATACAAAACTGTCATCAACGAACTAATAGGTATTACTTTTTAGTTATAAAACCACTATAGTAACTACCAGTAGTTATGAGCATAATGTAAATACTATAAATATGTGTATATGTCATAAATATATACTTAATATAGATATATTAATCAAAGTAACAAAAATAATAGATTTCTCACAGCTACTTTCTTACGCACGCGCTAATGTATCAGACTTTATATACTGTACACCTGTCTTTGTTTACAAGTGAAAGGCCTGCCAATGCCGCCAAGCGTTCACTTTGAGAACTAATAACTCATTCGGCTAAGCCCGCAAATTTTGAAACACATCGCTGACGATTTAGGAGTTTTTTTCCTGCAGATTGTTTTTTATTTTGCTTGCAGATTTTGTCCGAAGTCCGTTGATGGAGGAGGTCCGTAAATGTGAGGTTTATCTGTAGTTATAATTTATTTACGAACTATAATTTTTACAAGAAATGGATATTTAAGGAAAGCATGAGGTTTTACTTAAAATTTCGATATGGGCACCAGATTTCGTTACCAGCTTCTGAAGCCACGTCAACTAATTTCACTAGGAACTCTTGTGGTATGGAAGACATAACTTCTTGTATTCGCACCCTATCCCAAGTTCTTCCAAAGTCTTGGTTTGGTATGCTAGATTTACTCCTTTAACCAACCCTAAAGAAAAAAAGTCACAGGTTGTTAAGTCAGGACTCCTGGCTGGCCATTCATACATAAAATAGGGAGGGAGTTTTTAATCACCTTGTCTAAATATTTGTTTCCACACTTTTTGTTATGAATGTTTTTTTTTTTTTTCATTTGACTGACTGATTTTATTGCTCTAGTAAATTGCAGTATTCAAATTCTTCGGAAAAGTTAAAATATATAACAAAATATGACTCCAAATACTTATATATACGCGATCACATATGTTTCAGAGACTGTGAGAGACAAGTAAAACAGTTTTTATTCATTTTGATTTCCTTACAGTTTTTCTTTTTCTGAACACTGTGTAGAATCTGTCCATAGTGAAGGGTTTTCGGTAAACTCCCTTGCCATTTTAAAATGTTTCGAGGTTAGTATATTTTGTTTGTATTCTATGCTGTATACAAGTGTGTATGCCTAATAATTATGTAGGTTTGCTTCCTCCCCAGTTTTTTTGTACAGGAGTAGATGTTCATCCCTTGTTTCCTGTTGGGGACTGGGTTTCCGTCTAAAAGTCTACTTCTAACGTCTCTGCCTAAAAAATTTTATCTACTAATTTTTCCTCAATAGCAGTAGATAGGTTGGTCTATCGTCCGGTTCATGCTCCTCCCCATTGTTTTTTCTTTTTTTTTTTTTTTTAAACATTAGAGCTTTATCCCTTGTTTCTTTGTTTAAGGCTTTGGTTTCTGGTTCCTTCCTTGAGGTGAATTGATTATATATACCGGGTGTAACAGAAAAACTGTCCAACTCGTATCACAGCATGCGATAATTGTCCATCCCACAAAATGTTTAATATCTAAAAAAAAAAAAAAAAAAAAAGCACTAAAGTAATTGAGTTTCTTTTTTCCAGGTTTTCAGATAAGACATTTAGCCATCGGGAAACCATTTGTCGTAAGAATCACTGAAATGCCCTTTGAGTTTTTCAGCTAAAAAGACAGCAGGTTTAAATTGTTTTATCTCGGAACCACTGTCTTCCCAACTGAGCAATGGTGAGAGGGAAAAGATCATTCAGGCTTTCAGTAATGGTACTAACATTCATACGCTGGCTTCCATCTTCAAAGACCATTCAAGAACCATCAAGAGAACGGTGAATCAGTTTTAAAAAGAGGGAACAGTAGAGAGGTAAACTTTATCAGAAGGTCACAACAGGAAGAGGGGACATCCTTTCAACTTAGAGAAAATAGATAAAAGAACAAACTCAATCCACAAGACGTTTGGTGCGTGAGAGAGGAGCTTCAACTATGACAGTCCAAAGAGTAGTGGACAAAAAAAAAAACTTAAATGAAATCGTACGTGAAACCTGTTAGGTACTTTGTTACTTCAGGACAAAAACTTAGAAGGTTAGATAGGACGAAGATAATCTTGGATAAGTTGTAAAATGATCCTGGAATTATATATATGTATGTATATATGAACTTCATTACAATACTTCATGAGCTTCCGATCCTTAGCTTTGATTAATTAATGTAGATGTCATTTTCGCTGATGATCGATTTCATCACGATTCTGCTGTTAAGCTTGAAAAGTAATTATGCATTCTTATTGCTTAAAGTAGAGTCCAATCGTGTTATAAAAACCTCGGAGAATCTCAGTAATATATCTTTAATCATTTCTAAGATACAAAGGTACAGAGCCTAGTCTAACAATTGGACAATTTAGCTGTTACACCTGGTCTATATATAAGACGTATCAAAAATACTTTTAAAAACATTTGGGGTGGCTTCCTCACAGCAAAAAAGGACAAAAGACCATATAAACATATATACACACATCCTTCGTTTTTGAGATATTAAGTTTAAAGAATGTTTGCGGTAGATGGGTCTATAGACTAGGTTACATTTGTCATTCGTGTACATTTGTAGCTAGTCTGTATTCAACGTTTAACGTGTGTAGTAGTGATTTGCAGACATATGTTTATATGGACTTTTGTCTGTTTTGCTATGAAGAACCCTCCCCCAAATTTGTAAACATATTTTGATAATAATATATATATATATATATATATATATATATATATATATATATATATATTTCTGAGATGACGTATTGTAATTTACAATCTACCCCGGTGAACGAAATAAAGCGTTCCGTTCGAAATTCCAATCACCTGAAAAAGACCGGAGTGTATAAAGGCCGAAACGTCATGAAGATGGCAATAAAGATGAGGACAACAGTCCGACTAATGTAAATATATATGTTCCCTGATTTAAAATCCTGCAATACCAAACGGCTCTAGTACAGATATGGACAAAAGAAACACACAGGCGGACAGAAACTGAGAAGTCTGGCCATGAGAAGTGATAAGATGAGGTATTATAACTCCCACTTCGTTCTCGTAGATCCCAAGGCGTTTTCCTGCACACAGTTTTGTCTTTTCTTTCATTCTAACTTGAGGGAAGCCAAAGAGAACGCGCACTCTCCGGCGAAAAACGCGTCGTTAATTAATTTTCCAATTATCTACTTTTTTTTTTTCACTTTTGGTATATATATATATATATATATATATATATATATATATATATATATATATATATATACCTCCGGTTTAAAAAATATATTCAAATTATCCTACAGAAGGTCGTTCGAGCAGCGTACTGGTTATCGGTGAGGCAAGTTCAAATTCTAGTTTGGGCTGCTACGTTCATGTTTACACTCATGTCCTTGAGAGAAGCATGAATCTCTTCTCCCTGCACCCCACCCCAGATCTGGACCGTGTTATTCAATAATACTTTTGACATCGGACAAAAAATATTATACGTATTTATACAGGGTAAGCTCCTAGCATTTATAGTGTTCTATCTTATCTGCGGGTTAGCTTTTTCATTTCAATTAACCGCGGTGAAACGAGGAAATTAATTTCTGAGTTTTTTTATTTAATGGCCCCAAAGAGGAAGCGACACCGACAATTCAAATATTGCAAACAAGAAGCCATAAAATAAAATGTTTCCTTTTTAAGTGAAGCTTAATGTACCACAATTCTTACGCCTCTCTGTTCTTGATTGTTTGTTTGTTTTTTTTTTTTTTTTTTTTTCAATATTTCGTTCATCGTGTTTTTGATTTCCATCCAGAAAGCCTGATTTTTTTTTTTTTTGGGTTGTTTTTTTTTTTTGTTTTGTTTTTTTTTTTTTTTGTTTTGTTTTTCGTCTCCATTCCTTTCCCACTTATATATATGAGTGTGTGTGCGTGTGTCTTCTCACATCATCTTCCTTTCGTTTATGGAAACTTTCCTAACTACTCACCTCTCGTTTAATATTATTTAGTTCACTCCGAAAGCACAACTGATTCTACCGAGAAGGGGTCATGTATTGAGCAGATACTACACTATGATCTTGAGTAGATAGCGATTTACTAAGCGTTGCTTAGTTGTGGTACAAGGTCGAAAATACTGAGTACAGAGTGAGTCGTAATTGATCACGTCGAAGTGCTCATGATCTGGAGTAGATGAGCCTAATGGTAATGCATACAAAACAACTGACGGAGGATAGAATGCAGGTGCCCCTCCCTGTCATCTGAAATTATGTAAAATGAAGAAGCAATTAAATTTAATTGATATAGGAAACTTGAGCGTTGAACGCTCAAGTTTCCTATATCAATTAAATTTAATTGTCGGTTCCCATACGTTCATTGAAGTTAAGCAACGTAGAGCCTGGTCAATACCTAGATGGGTGACCGCTGGAGAGTAACAGGTGCTGTAAGCTTAGATGTGCGGGTGGTGTAATGGATAACGGCTCGGAATTGCTAATTGGAAAACCGAGTTCCAATTCCAGTTGAGTTCGTTATATTCACTTACGCGCAAATACGCTCGGTGTTAAAATGTTTGCGGCATATCAACTCATTATCGGTCATTTAATGCCGAAATTGAATTTTCTTGGGAGCATTAATAATTTCTTTTTCAAAAATGTATTGCTGATATATATATATATATATATATATATATATATATGAAAATGTGTTGCTGGTATTTTTACTGTAAAAATGTATACTTTTTATACCGTTTTGTTTTGTTTGGAAGTTCATTATTTGCCCATAGTTGGGACCCTAACATGTGCTACCACCCCAAGTCAGGGTGCAGCTGGGAACATCAATAATTAAGAGGTGGTTTCACGCTTCTCAAAATCTCTCGATCAGAGGCCTTGCTGCCGGATGTAGTTTATCGTCATACCCAGAGCTTATTAGTAAGACTTGTTTTACTTGTTTCGAAAATAAAATTCTTAGAATCTAAAAATATTTCCTGGCTTTAAATAACCTGCAAAGGGTTAAGCCGTAGAAAACGAATTAACCACTCATTTGAGCGTTGCTAGAGCCAGAAAATAATCTTTTTTAATCTGCTTGCCTCGGTGTCGAAAATCGAGGCTCGTCGTCTGATGTGACTGATGTAGAATGCTGGAAATAACAACACTGCTTAACATGACGCAATTTGAGAGCATGTATTTTTTTATTAACACAAAACACCTTGTAAACTTGCCGTAAACCTACCTGCTTTTTCAAAATTCAAGTCGTGTGTTTCTGCAATCAGGAAACCACCGTAAGTCGTAGCGAATAGAGGAATATTTTTTTTATATTTTTTTTTTATGCAGTTTCAAAAATCTGAAAGTTTTTCCCATATAAATTAATGATAATTCCATTTTTTTGCTTCATGCTATTTCAGTTGGCGAAATGTTTCCCAGAGACATTCTATTTTCGGAAAATATCTATATTCAGGGATTGTGTGTGTGTGTGTTTTAATATAAAATAATACATTGTAAAACATTAAAAATCGATAATTTTTCAATTTTTAAACTATTTTCATAACCTAACACCTCTTAAATGGCATGGGTCACACAAACACACAACCACACGAAAAGCTTATACCACCAGAACATTATTGTAAGTAATAGTGAACAGGTGAGTCACAAAAATGCCGATTTCCCCCACCCTCTATACAGATTAATTGCAATTACTTCACTTTACGGTGTTTCTGCTGACAAAGTGTTTCCTACGAACGGTTTACTTTAGCGTAAGAATACATGTATTCAGGAACTATATCATTTTGTTTTCTCCAGAATCGTGTTAATCCAATCTTTAGGTTCCATTTTATGTAAAATTATTTCCGATAGTCAATCTGTACAAAAACATGATCCGTATTTCAACTATTAATGAAAGATTCACACAAAAAAAAAAAAACTTTTGAGGTCATGCCCTATTTGAACCTTCCACTGAAGTGGAATCAAGTTTGATGAATGTTCCATTTTTTTTTTTTTTTTTTACTTTGAGTCATGCTTCAGCGAAATGAGAAAATTATTCTGGAAACAAATTGTCGAAACCGTTGCTTGGTCGATCGAAGATGAGAAACGACCTTTACCAGGGCAAGGTTTATGCTGAATGACACTTTCAGTGCTCATGACTATTAACTTCGGATCGGCAGTTCGACACTGAGGAGTGTGGCGGAGGTCCCAGCGGGACGTAGCTTCACAGTCTGGGTCCCAATGCTGCTACTGATCAATCACCGGGCAATGTGCAGCGGGAAATTGATACAGGCTTGTCGATATGATTGTGTGGGGCAGGGCAATGAAAGACAGATCCTGTCGTCTGTTCGTTTGAAAATGAGGCTCTGGGTTTATTAATATTATTTTGGAATTCCGAAAACCAAACTTCTTAGAGGTTTGTCTCTCGAGGTTGATAAATAAGATTACATGACCTGTAGTAATTATAAATACACTACTGAAGTAAAACATGTTCGGCGACATGTGGCAAGAATGACAGCTACTGCCTCATAACAACTACGCATTTCAGACATGTATAAGCAGGTAAGCCGGTATTAAGTACTTCATTTTGAGGTTTTGAATGCTACGGTTATGAGATTTCAGTAATTTTGATAAAGGCTAAACTGCTATGACCAGAAAACGAGCTCATGGCATTTTCAACACGTCATGGCTTGTGTGTCTCACATTTGTGACAAATGGCCCGAAGAAAGAGAAAACTCCCCAAATACCGACAAGGGTGGACAAACTTTAGCAATGTGAGAAATGAACGGAGGTTATCACAAAGTACGAACCAACAGAAGTGCTACTGTGGCACAGATTGCAAATATCTTTAATCGAGGTGAGGGAATGCGCCACAATGCACAACATATAGATTTTTGTTGCGTATGAGGCTACCTCGTCGCAAGTAAAATATCTATATTAATTAATGTCCGTCGTCGAACGTGTGATCAGTCGACATGCGAGTGTTAGAATTGTACCTTGTAACAATGGGAAAAAGTTGCCTCGTTCGATGAGTCTCACTTTCTCCTTAATAAGACGGACGGCAAGGTGCGTCTGCATCGTTAAGCCAGAAAGTCAATGACGCCAAAATGCAGTGTGAGAAAGCAAGGCTGGTGGAAATCGGTATGGTGGCTTGGAGAATGTTGTTCTTCTCGGGGACATCACTATCCTTCATGTGAAAGGTGCATACCACCAAATTCAACGTCATAGAAAACCAGGTATAGTCCTAATGCA